GGTAGTTTAGCTGAAATTCAGATTTAACTGGGCGTCCTCTATTTCATCTGGCAGCCTTACCCCTAATCCTATTTATGGACACTTTCCACAAGATCCAGGCTGTAAAATGTGGGTATCTGCTCACCATAAACTGACAAGAATAGAGGGCAGGGGCATGCCTTAGTGTCGTCCCCTTCCTTAGAAAGCCGAGTGCAGCGCTCAGCTCATGCCCACGTGTTGGGTGTCACTGTTACATGGTTCTGTTCAGAGGAGGCTCACCTCGCTGCTGGCCACATGGTGCTGGGGAGGGGAGAGCCTGGCTAGCAGAACGGACACGCCGCGGCCAGACCTCCTCTATCCATGGCGGTGAGTCTGCCGCACTGCCCGTGGTCTCCATCACCAGTACCATAAGACGGTGAGGGCAGGGCCTGAAGACCGTAGCTTGCAACCTAAATACGTCTCTTTCTCTTAGAGGTCTTTCTGGCTTTATGGGAGCAACCCTCACTTCAAATATCATGAGTTACTGTAAAGATTTTGTAAATTAAATCACATGCTGGTTAATTTTCATGCTGGTTAACATGATCATTTTAGAATTACATCTCCATTTTGGATTGATTTTTTTTTTTTTCCTTCCCAAGGGTAATAAGTTAATGAACTATGCACAAGGGAAGTTTTTATTTCAAGGAAGCTTGATGAAAGAACACTTTGTTTAGTTATTTCTTTCATTGTAGGTCCCCATTTTTTTTTCAAAGTCGGGGCACACCTGTTCCCAGGAAATGGTTTGTTAATAAGATAACATTGGTTTTGTGGGGTGTGCCAAAGAATCTTCAAGATATTGCATCCTTTTCTTTTTATTTATTTTCCCAAATTGCTGTCCAGAGGAAAGATACTAATGGGAGGAAAGAGGAGCAGCCATCTATTGGTAATTAGTGAGTCTGTGCTGTCTGCTTCACTGCATTCCACTCCGCTCATTATTGATAATTATTGGGGCTTTCTCAGCAGTGTTTATGAGTCAAACCACAGATCCCCTTGCTTGTCATGGAAGCATTTTAACTTTGCCTAAGTAATAGCCTATGGCCATCTGGATTAGTCATTTCTCATTACCTACCTTTGAGGTAAATCAGTATTAATCCCTCATTACTGAGTGAGAAAACCAAACCCCAAAGCTGGTCTGTCCCAAGAGCACGTGGTAATCAGAGTCAGGTCCATGACTGCTGCCCTCTTTCCTCCTCCGAGTAAGCATGCCTGTCATCTTTCACAGGCCTCCCTGGGATGTACAAAAATCACAGTTTAGAAAAGGCGTTTCCATTTACACAGCCAGCCCTATGTTTAGGAACCAAGTATTCATCTCTTCTCTCATGTGAGAATTGCCTAGAGCACTTCAATAGCATGCCAGTAGTGGGGTCCCTTTCCTAGGCATTCTGAGTCATTTAGTTTGGGGTGCAGCATGGGCACAGTTTTTATTTAATAATAATAGTAAGCTTCCATGATGCTCATGTACAGGGAGGGTTGAGACTAAAGGCCCAGGCAAAGTAAGCAGGGGTTCTTAGTTGGCTCAACTTCCAAATCCAGCTCAACAGTCTCCCACACACAGGTCTTCATCATCTTACCATTAGAGCCCCTACACATGGAGCCTGTGGAGACATGTACATTGAGCCTGGGTTAAAGCATTCTGTTACCAAGAAGGAAACATTAGCAGAGAGTGGTTTACCAGTTAACCCCAGTAGAAATGCTTCACTCTGATGAAGAAACAAGGAGAGAAGGACACACCTAGGGTATGATGTGCTGACCAGACGGATGAAGGAGGGGTGGTGATGGGAACCCTGGGCTGCCCCAGGATCATGACCATGCAGAAGTGCCATGCTCCTGGGCAGTGGTTTCAGAAAGTGAATAAGTTAGGGGTTGGGGGGCCAACCAAGGGAGGCGTATTGGTTCAGAGAAGCATGCACTCGGAGGTCATACTGACTCTGTCACTTAAGCTCTGTGACCTTGGGCAAGTTACTACTTCTTAGATGATCAGTTTTCTAATTTGGAAAACGTAAAAACTGCACCCACCTTTTGTTGGGACCTAAAACAAGACAATATGTGATATAACACATCAGTGTATTCTGGCCTTTCTAGAGTCAACGGATCACTTATGTTTTCTTGATTAAAATGGGGATGGACCATTACTCTCTCCAAGGTAACTAATTCTCACAAGGAAATACATGTTAGATTTAAGGTGATGAGCCATATGTTGACATGGAAGCAAGAGTGGATGAAACCTTACAAGGGAGTCCCTTGGCCTCAGAGTTGTAGGGTAAAGTTGTGGGGCCCAGGATCAGGCTGCGTCCTTGGACCAAAGGCTGAGAACAGGCACCAGGAAGCCAAATGAGGGTAGGGTAAAGTTGTGGGGCCCAGGATCAGGCTGCGTCCTTGGACCAAAGGCTGAGAACAGGCACCAGGAAGCCAAATGGGGGTGTGATAAGACTTACCCGAAGGACACAGAGAGCTACCAAAGTCAGAGCTTATGGAGCCAGGTCCTAAGAAAATCTATGACCCAGAAACCAGGAACAGCGCCCAAGTCTGAAGGAGGCAGTTTCAGGAATAGCCTTCGAGGGGCCACTGTTCGGAACAGCCTGCCTTCTTCATTCTCTGCCTCCTTGGAGAGTGCGTCAGCCTAGGAGGTCCCAGAAGTGAGTATCTTAACAGTCTTTCTGATCCATATGTGTGCTGCTAGGAAAATGCACTTTCCAAATCAGGGCCCTTGGACTCTGCTCTAAGACTGTGGACCAATCAGCATAGCAGGACCCACAGGAAGCTGGTTCCATAGGATGTTCCATGGTAAACATATTTATTTGCTGGGCGAATGAAATTTAACGCGTTTCTCTATTGGAGGACTTTTCAGTGCCTTTAATTTTCTTGTAAATGTCAAAGAGAAGGATATGGTGATATGTGTTTTCCAAACTGTTTTGACTATGGAACCCTTTCTTCTTGGGAAGAATCCCCAACTCCTATGGCTCTCTTGATATCTTAACTCCTGGTGCTTCTGCCTTAAGGTCCCTTCCTTACTTCTCAGGGGTTTGTAGAACCCAGTGAAGGTTGTGACCTTATCCCCAAGTCCCTCCCACTGAGGGACAGTCACGAGATGAAGCTGTAAACTGTGTAAAGGCAGGACCATGCCGATCTCATTCTCCCTTTCAATGGAACTGAATTGGGACTCAGTGCCTGCTGTTGGAATGATTATTCATTGAATCGATGAATGAAATAATCTAGTTCATGCCAAACTCCAATTGCTGCCTTATATAGTGCCTCGGTGTTAAATACTCAACTGACCCATCCTTTCTGGGGAAAGTGCGTCCTGAGATTATCTTGTTTGGGATGAAAAATTGGGAGATGTCAGTTCTGGGCCTAACTTGGTGCTTTTCTTTTTCACTTATCCAAAGTGACCTCGCAATAATCCTGCCCAGCGCCCTTCAAAACAGCCATGGAAGTAGTTTGCAGAAATTAAACTCTCCAAAATATCATCTTAATGATTTCCTTAGGAACTAGACCCATCTTTTGACATTCTGCTAGGCCTGTTTGTATCTAGTCTGAGCCTTTCTGAGAATCTAGGCATGTGGCAATAAAGGCTGCCCCCAGGTGTGTTTTATAACCACAGGCTTTGCAAGTTTAAATGGAAGAGAGAGAGGAAACAAGAATGGGCAATTTTCTTTGATTCTTTTATTGTGGGTAGTGTTTATTTTAAGCAGTTTCCCAAGTAAGTAAAGCCTTCCTTCTATGCTTTGTGCTAGTGCATTCTTGGAAGGATGCATTTAGTGAGTTTCCACCCACCTCACCTCCTCCCTCCCCTGGACTTCTGTGGAGGTACCATGATGCCAGTGTGGTCCCTGCTGAGGCTCTGCAGAGGGCCCCTCAGACCCAGCTGAACCAAAGCGCCGCCGCGTATGGCAGCGAGGGCCTGTGCTGCCTGTGGGTTCCCTCCATCTGCACCTGCCCTACAGCAGGTCACATTATATTTTTATTTTCTGGAGGGGGTAAGTTGAAGGAGAAGCAGCAGCTTTGGTGAGGAGAACCCGGAAATCAGCTCAGATCTACAGCTGCAGTGCCTAAGAAAAAGCTCATTTGTCTGAACTCTGTGCATAATAAGTTACGTTTGATTTGGGAGATTAAATTTAAGCCTTATTAGCTACCCTTGATAATGTATAAATGTAGAATGACCATATAGTCTAAAGATTTTCTCTATTTTTTAAACATGTATATGAACAGTCTTCAACTAACATAAGGATTAAGCCACACTTAGTGTTAGATTAAACGAATCACTGTGTTTGAAAATAAAATTATTTGAAATCAAGACTTTAGGGAAATCTGAAGTGCGGCTGACTCTGCCCTGTGCCCTGAGGGAGAAAAAACGAGACTTGGAAGTTTACGCTGTTTGCCAAGTGAGTCCCCATTGTCCCAGATGACAGCTGGCACACACGGACAAGTCACTCACTCTAACTTTACTTTTTCCTGGTAAAGGAATAGCACCTATTTGCCAGCCTACTTCCTTGCAGGAAGGCAACAAGGCGTTTGTATAGGGAATCTGGCATTTAAAATGATTTTTTCTATGTAAATTGTAACTATCAAAGAGAAGAAGCCACCAGTTTACAAAGAGATTGTAGGTAACGAGGAAAATCCAATAGAAATAACAATTACAATACTTTTGGCTAATGAGTATAATGCCAGCTCGAGATGAGATTTTTTAAAAGGGAGTTAGTCTAGAATGCCAAGCATGTTCAGGGTTTGGAGTTCTTGATGGGAGAAATGATTAGTACAAGAGAACCAACTGATGCCCTTTGGCTATTCCAAAGCCGTCTGACATCTGCACAGAAACAGGTGATTGCGGTGTCCAGCTGGAGAGCACAAGCCACAGAGCAGGTTTCCTGAAAGCCACCGCTTTCTCTCTGAAATGTATGGCCACGAAGCATGCATTTCTGGGATCTGATGTGTCCTGGCTTATTCAAATAATGATGATAACGTGAGGAACCTTCCAACTACAGGACTCTTCGTCACTCTCAATGACAAGAACAGCGAAAGCCTTGTCGATCTGCTAATGATCTTCACTCCTGTCTGAATTCTGTTCCTGGGCTGCTGGGTCTCGGTCGGCGCTCGTCTGCTCCCCCTTCCGTCCGCTGGCCAGCATCATCCAGCGTCCTGTGAGTGTGAGTTAATTCGCTTATCTGATTTTCCTTTTCTGCTCGGTGGCTAATTTTGTTTGAGATTTCACAGTGCTTCTAACTGTATATACGTAAACAGAGACACGCTTCTCCCCACGTCATTTTATTAGAATCAACATTAGGAAGAGTTTTAAACTTTCCTACAGTTGAGCTGATGAAAGTTGCTATTGTCAGTGGGTGTTGACAATGTTCACAAGTGTCTCAGCAAAAAGGAGACTTTGCATTCACCTCCCACCGGACCTGCCTGGTTTAGACGTGCAAAGCTGTGGGTCAGTGCGCGAATGTGTGTCAATCAGATGACAGCACGCCTCCTTAGTTCCCAAGGTAAAGGAAAGTGGCCGTTCTCTCATTTTGGAAATATCTAGAGCGGCCGGTGCAGTGTTCACGTCAAAGCTCGCGATTGTATTTTAATTCATTTTCTTTACGAAGAGGGAGAACCAGGTCCATCAGAATGTCACCGATGGATTGTTTGAAACACCAAGAAACATCAGTTTTAGGATTTAAGTAAATTGGGTATAAGACTTCAAGTTTAATATGAACGATGCTGTTATAAGATACTTGGGACAGGGACACTGTTTTGGTTTCCTGCGGTCACTGTAACAAACCACGACAAATTTAGTGCCAGAGACATCAGATTTATTCTCGTGCGGTTTTGGAGGTCAGAGCCTAAAATGGGTCAGCGGGGCCGAGTTCCTTTCTGGAGACACTGGGTGGGAATCTGTTTCCTTGCCTTCTCCAGCTTCTAATCTGGAGGTTCCCCGCATCACCTGACCTCTGCCTCTGTTGCCACATCTCCTCTGACGCTACCACTCCTGCCTCCTTCTTATCAGGACCCTTGTGATAACACTGGGCCCCCTGCATAATCCAGGAGAACATACTGTCTCAAGATTCTTAGTTATATCTGTAAAGTCTTGTTTGCCATATAAGGTAACATGTGCACACATTGCAGGGACTAGGATATGGACATCTTTGCCTACCACAGATCACTTCATTCACCCTTTCTGACCAGTTTTCTCACTGGTCTTCCTGCAAAGCTGAAGGAGTGTGTTACAGCTCCGATCTGCAGGTGTGGGCTGTCAGTTTGAAAATACCATCCTGCAGAAAGACCCACTACGAGAAGAAGGCCCACTCATGCTTCGGAATCTGCTCGGTCCAAGGGAAACTTCCAGTGGACACCAAACTGATGTTTGCTCCTTTCCCACCAAAGTCTTGCCAGTGTCACATGGAGCTCACGACACAGAAGCCAAAGCAGGAGAGGTAGCACATAAACTCCAGGGCTCTGGAAGAAAGAGATCCACATTCCCAATCTGTCCCTTCCTGAGTCTGTAATGTTGCACACGTTTCTTATTTTAATAAAATCTCAAGTTCTGTGTCTGCAAAAGAGAGATGATTACTTCCAGAATTGTAGTGAGATTACAAAAATAAAATGTGCAAAATGCTTAGCACATGCCTGGAATTTAATTCTTACCCAAGGAGTGGCGGTGATGGCCGGTCCTTACACCAGGCCTGCCCTTGCTCTGGGCTGCCCAGTACGCCAGAGGTAAAGAGTGGACACAGCAGGGCAGAGGGCACTGGAGTAGAGAGAGCTGCAGATCCAGCTAACGACCCCCTTCATCTCTGTGTTAAGAAATGAAGCAGACCACCAGCATCATGCAAAAGAGGGAACTCTGCTCTTACATTGAACTTGCAGCATTTGCACATGCAGAGTCTGAGAACTGAGTAATAGGACCCAGAAAGGGAAGGCCAACCCCAGCATGGAATGGTCTAGATTGTGACCTTCTCAACATCATAGGGTAGAAGAGGAGCTCTGATCAGCTCAGCCCATGGGAGTTCCCTTAGCCATGCTGGTCAGGACTCACCTGTTCTCTGTAACATTTACAGCTGTATAAATCACCAACTGCTTGCTTGACTTACTCTTAAATAATGGATAATACTATTTTATCCCAGAGTGTGGTTTCAGCTTTATTCTTAATAATCCACTTTATTATTATCCTAAATCTTGATTTTAAAAACCTCCCCCAGATATTATATATATGATTTTGGACTAAGTGAATTCCACCTACAAAAACACTGATGTTTATTGAATATTCACTCTATGCCAGTCATTGCATGTGCCAACTGCCTAAAATGTATTTTAATACCTATTCCTTGCAGTAATTCTATTACAATTGATTTACTGTTACATATAAAGAAAATCTGGAAGGATATACAATAAATTGTTCATTATGCTCTTTGAGGAATGGGGTTGTAAGATAGTTTATGTTATTCTGTATTGGTTGAATATATTTTCAATGAGCATGTATTATTTTTATAATTACAGAAAAAAATTAAGATTATAAATGAAGTCCAGTTGTTTCCAATTTAGAATGGAATTTACTGTTTATTTTTTTTCCTGATGACCTGGTTTCTAGTGTTTTCCTTAATCATAACTCAGAGATGATGGATAGACCCCTAAAAAATTTTAAAGAATGACTTTGTGACTGCGCTAAATATGGGCTATTTTGTGCGAAAACTCTCCCTAAAAGTTATGAATAATTGAAAATAAGTTGTGTTGGGGGCTGGAGGGACGTGCAGTAACATTTTCTGGAAGCACAGTCAGTGTTCTCTGCGGGCAGACACGGGTGCGTGGGCCTGCCGTGGAGTTCTTCGTGTGGGAATTAGAAGGACCTGTGAGAACTGAGCGGTAAAGGAGGTGAGGAGAAAGGCGAAGTGTATGACGTAGAGGTCTGCAGGCTAAGCAAATTATCCTTGGGCTTGTTTCAAACGACTTCTTGATCCTCATTTCCAGTCAGTCTGGCACTCCCTGAGATGGCTGTTTCCAGGGCGCCTGGTTCTTAACTGAGGGGTTCCTTAAGCCCCTCACCTGCTCTCCTTTGCTGTCCCCTGAGGTGTCAGGGTCCGCTTGCACAGGACGCCGTGTTTGGAAGACACGCTCTCGCCTCTTCCCCGCCCCTCCCCCACATGTACATCCCTTGTCTCCCGAGTTCAGGGAATTTCCCTCCAGCTTTATAATCAAACCTCATACTGAGCGAAAACAAAGATTCCAGGAGCAGCTTACTGTTCACTGAGAAAAATAAATCATGTATATTTAAAACAGGGTCTGTAATATTGCAGCCTGATTTAATCTTGGTATATTGGATTTTGGTACCTGTTGGGGTTTGACCACAGCCAGAGACCCCAGGAGCTCTCATTGCCAAGGACCGCGGTGAGCTCTTCCCACTGCAGCCGCCTCCAGAACAGCGCCCCCTCAGGTTCATGCGGCAACTACAGGAGCAGCAAATACTTATGGAACTCTTTGGATCCATACCAGTGTGGTAGGTAAGAAAGGCAGGACTTCTCTCCACTGACATGCCCAAACTGAAACTAGAATGTGCACATCACTTGTTCTTCTCCCTGGATGTCATGTAAGTGCTCTTTGCGTGGAGTTCTGTGTACAGAAGTGCTTGTGAGGAAGTTGTATCATGCGCCTCCTTCCTAAAGGTTGGGGCCCGAGAAGGATGCAGATCTCTTTGCACAGTACTCTGCACGGTTGGGAGGTTCCTGCGGGCTGTGATGAGAGTCCTGACAGCTGACATTTGCCCAGTGCTGTCACAGGTCTGATCGCCCGGCCGGAGGCAGGCTCTGTTATAGAGGCAACAAATACGCCGTCGTAGGTAAGAGTCCCTGCCCGCAACTTGAAACAACCTGGGTTTCAGCCCTGGCAGAGCCACTGACTGATTTGGTTTTGTCAAGTTTCTCACTTTCTCTTAGCATCTGTTCCCTTGCACAAAAGACAAAGGTATTAATATCTACATTGCAAAACCATTTGGACGATTAAATGGGTTGTCACGTGAAAGCACTTAGCACCGCAGTGAGGTGCTCCGCAAATGGCAGCTGATGCTATTAATGACATGCTGTTAGCGCTCCCATTTTTTTAAAAAATCTTTCTTTTGACCCCCCCCTTTCTCTGCCAACTGCTGTCCTTTCTTCTTGCACCCCTTTTAAACACAGCTCTTCCAAAGAGAGACCGTGCTCACTGGCTTCAACTTCCCTCCTCACCTTGGCTCCTAAACCCACTCCAGTGGGCTTTGGCCTCACCTCTCCAATGCTACCTTTGTTTTACAAGGTCACCAGTGGCCACTGTATTGCTGAACGCAATGACGTTTATCAATGACAGCAACTAATCAGCAGCGTTTAATAGGCGAGATTACTCCTTCCTCCTCAATAACTGCCACTTGGCTTCAGGACAACACTCTTCCTTGGTGTCCTTCTGTCTCAATGGCTGCTCCTTCTCAGTCTCTGTGTCTGAAGTTCCTGATCTTTAGACATTGCAGGGACCCAGGACTTGGTGACAGCTCCTCTTTTCTATCAGTATTTATTCCCGTAATGATCCTACCCAGTCTTCTGGTTTAAAATACTGTTTTTGCCAGTGATTCCCAAATGGATGTTACCAGCCCTAAACTAAGTCCCAAATTCCAGACTCACATCCAACTGCTTACTGGACTCTCCACTTGAGTATCTGTCGGGCATCTCAGGCACCATGAGTTAGTCAGGGTCCACCAGAGAAACAGACCCGATAGGACATATGTACATATGTATGTGTATATTTATATAAAGGTTATAGATAGAGGCAAGCCCCACGGTCTGCTGGTGAATCTGCAAACTGGAGACCCAGGAGGGCTGATGTTTAGTTCCAGACTGACTCCAAAGGCACGAGAGCCAGGAGAGCTGATGATCTAGTTCTTGTCTCAAGGCTCACAGGCCCCAGACCCAGGAAGAGCCTATGTGTCAGTGTGAGTCTAAAGGCAGGACAAAAGCCAGTGTTCCAGTTTGATGGCAGACAAAGAATTCTCTTTTACTTGGGGGGCGGGACGGGGGTTGTCAGCCTTTTTGTTGTAGTCAGGCCTTCATCTGATTGTGTGAGAGAGGGAAATCTGCTTTTCTTGGTCTACCTATTCAGATGTCGACTTCATCCAAAAGCACAGAATGCTCAGAACAATCACTGA